CGCTCGCATCAAGTCTGCAGCTGAAATCGTGTTAAGGAGTTGCTTCTGGAACAGCTACAAGAAACCAATGCCTGTGTGCTTTCCAGCGAACGTAAGTATAGGGGCTTCTCTCTGCAGAAATGGGACATTTCTCCTTTCGGATGTTCCAGCAGGTCAGTGTGCCTTCTGACAACGTGTGTGTGTCAGCAGAGATTGGCACGCTTTGGGCATCTGGAAAAAAAGAGAGGAGAAAACGTATCTGAAGACTTATCTTAAAGTGTACTCAAGAGTGGTCTTCTAGCTCAGTACAGTCTGTCAAGGAACTTCTAAAAGCATTAGAAATTGTATGTTTCCAAGAATTTGGAAATGGCAGGCAGTACCCATCAGTAGAACAAATTTTATTGTAGCCCCTTTGGAGGTAAAAGAAGGTTTTGACTTTGAGTTACGATTCTTTTTTTTCTTTCGTTTTTTTTTTTTTTTTTTTTTTTTGTTTTTTTTTTTTTTTTTTTGCAAGTAAGCTGCTGTTTATTGCAATTTTTGAGTGGTAGTAAAGCTTTTTTAAAAAGCAAACCAATTGTCCTTGTTATACCATACAATGAATAAATTTTTCTGTGTGTGAAAATAGGAAGAGCCCTTTTGAGGGGCACGTGAAGGTGCTGTGAAGGTGCTGTTGTGCTATACAGACCATTGAGATATTCTCAGGTGGGAACATGTTCTACTGAAAGCTTTTGTACTTTGAAAGAGATTCATAAGAGTGTCAGATCTAGTCCAGTTAATTTATAAAGCTTCTAATCTGTTTTGTTTTATGTTTTGAGTTCAGATGTTAAGCTGAAGAACTCTGTAACTCCATGAGCTATGTTCCAAGGATCCTGGAGAAAAAAAGAAAAAAAAAAAAGCCCTAAAAACAAAGACCTTCATATATCTGTTGAGAGGGAAAGAGCGTATATAAAGGGGTTAAAAAGAGGTTTGCATTTCTACCACATGCCCTATTGTGTGAACATATGCATGAGTCTATTGAAAGTTTTCAGAAGATGGGCAGGCCACCAGTTGCTGGTCTCCTGCAGTTCCAGTAGACATCTGTTGCCCCAGAGCATTAACCAATCTGTTCAATGGGACATCCTTCCTTTGTTGGACAGAATGATGCAGACAACAGCACTGGCTGAAATACAATGGTAATTAAATACATAGAAACTACAGCAGTAGGTATTTATTACATATTCATTATTTTATTTGCATTGTTGCCGTAGCGTTACGGTTTGGGTAACAGATACATTCATTTTTTTTCTTTTCTGATCAGCGCCGCACTTCTTTTTGTGACAAGTAATTACAGCGTTTCAACAAACTGCCATTTCAATATTTCCCGTTCTCTTTTTAGAAGACTTAGAAAAAGACTTCCTGTGTGAAAACAAGAGGAACTGTTTCAGTGTAGAATGTATCTTCGGAAACTTTGTGGAAGGTCTTTTGGGAATACACAATTTCTATTACCTTGCCACAAGACTTTTTTCCTCCTTGTTATTTTTCTCCGTGAACAAAATTTGCATTAAAATACTTTTTATGTTCAGTCATAAGTGGAAAATATTCAGAATAGGCATTAAAAGATTAGGTGAGTTCTTTTCCCTCATTCCTGTGAGAAACAGAAATATTTTGTGTGAATTGAATTAATGAGTTGATTGTTGTTAGCGGTTACAAAAAATAGTGGTAACTTAAGAAATGGAAAAAAGAATATGGTTCTACCATGTGGTAGCGCAGTGCTCATCCCCAGTGCTGATAAATGTCTTTGACTCAGTAATACAGCATTTCAGGCCTTTATCAGCAAACCCACTGTGAGATACTGCAGTTTCAATCAGGCTGTAGTTTGTTCTTAAAAGTTCTGTTGCTGTATGTCCAAATTGGAAGTTACTCTTTTTTTTTTTTTTCTTCCTTTAAATAAAACAAATTCTGTTACTCCACTGTGAGCACAACCAAAAGTTGCAGACTTTTCTTGACAAGACTTTTTTCACTGGCTTTATTTGCTTGTTTGGCTCTCAGTTGAGTCAGAAATCATAGCGGGTATTTTTCTCATCTGTCTTGCATTGTACCAGTAAGCCTGCTTTAAAACCTACATGCATAATGAGAGTTTCTTGTCAATAAAGAATGCAAGGAGTTTTTCTTATCTGATGTTCCTCCTTGAATAAACGTGACCTTTTCTGCTTTCTTGTGAGCTTCTTTGTCCTGTCTGAAGATACACTGGCATTTATGTGGACTCTAAGTTGGCTCAAATAGACTGCCTCTTTGCTAACCACATCAAGATAAAATAATCAACTCCAGCGTTTAACAGAACATCTGATCTTCATGGTTCTAATCCATGGGTTTCACGTAGGGCATTGCCTTGCAAGCTCCCACATATAGAATTTCAAGAGATGCTGCCAACCATGGATATGGTGTGAAAGTTCAGATATTGCAAACGTTTCTCTGAAAAATTTGTGAGCAGGGCCTAGGCCAAATGCCAGGAGTAGCGTGCTGCTTATGCAAAATGTTTCTGGTATCTTTAATTTGGGGGCTTACAGTAGGTGAATCATTTAACTGCCCTTGAGAGAAAGAGAAGAGACTTAGAAGAGGTACATGTGAGAGTGATGATGAACATTCCAACAAGGCACAAAGCTCAACTCCTGGCCGCTTTTGTATGCAGATGATGTGCAAATCGTCTGAAGTATATTTCATATAAAGGCTGATCTTTGAATACATTCATATGCCAATGAGGTTTTTAATCACGCTGAAGGGTTTTGTGATCGCAGTTGCTTTGAGGCACTTAAACTTCAGCGAAGAAGCAACTGGAAGATGACTTAAGTATTATTTCAACTAACGCTTGACAAACAAAACGTCCTTGTCACTTGGACGCTTCGAGATGTGTTTATTCTATGATGTTAATATCCAACCTCATCCTTCCCACTTCAAAAAAAAAAAAAAATCCCCCTGCTTTTAGCTCAGTGCTGAAATGCCATTTCACAGTACATGGATTTAGGCAGCGCCCCATTATCTGGGCGCGCTCAGCACCAGCAGTACATGAGCCAGCTCAACTTTTCAGGCCAGCTTAGGAGTGTTGCCCATTAACAGGACTTCCTCGAGTCCCAGCAGATTGCAGGCTTGGGAACAATGATGTCGGGCCTTCCAGATTGCTTTGGCAGCTGCATTGTTCTCGGAGGGGAAACCAGACGCACTTAAGTCCCACTCTTTTTCATGGGCTTTTGTTCATACCAAATTATTCTTCTGCCGTGCTAGTATTCATGATGGTATGTTAAAGGAGTGCATCCTAGCAACTAAGGCTTGTTGCTAAGCAGCCTTGCTTCCAAGAGATTTTTCTTGTTTGAGGGTTAGTTTTTTTGTTGGTTTTTATTTGTTGGTTTGTTGTTTTTTTTTTTCAGTCCTGTGAAGGCTTTAGTGTTGGTTTTTTAACTGTATCCTTTTATGGGGACGTTGTTGTGATTTGTTACTAGCACTGTGCTATCAAGTGCATTACATTAGTTAATAAATCACTGTGTGAAAAGGTTCGTTTCCGAAATTCTTCTTGTGTTTAGTATGTGGTGTTGTGTGAACTCCCTTCAGTCAAGAGAATGTAATATTCCTTGACACGCTGTTTGAGGTTGGGTTATGGCCTTACTCCATTCTTATGAGGTCAAGACTGAATAAAACTTGAAGTAGAATATTTTCTTTCCTAGAAGTCACTCTTAACTAAATTATGGGGTTAGACAGAAAACACTTCTGTGTTTTCTTTTGTGTCTTTTTTGAGCTAAAAGTACTTGGGTAAACTGACTGTGCCTGATCTGTATTTGACAAGTTCAGTGAAAACCTTTGCATCTGGATATTACTTTTATATTCTACTCTGCAAGGTGGAAGTGTGGAAGAGCTCTTTGTTTTATAGTCGTCCTTTCATGGAAAGTTTCCTTTTTTATAGTGCCCCTGCAGTACGATTGCTCTGTGTGGTCCGTTTTCATGTGTGAGAAATAATCTTCTACTTTTCTGATTGAAGCATTTAGCAAAAAATTCCCACCTAAAATAACAAAACAAGGGAGAAAGACAGAAAGCTGTCCTTTGGAAATGTACACTATGGAAATAATGCTTTGATGAAATGGATTTATGTATAACTGCCATTATGCAAAATTGCTCAAGAAAAACTGCAATTTTTCTTCTTCCATTCTTTTTACATGACTTCTTCCTATAGGTTTAATGTGGTCTAGCAAATGGCTTCCACAAGTCAAGTCCAAGAGTTGAAATTAGCATTTATTTTTGCTGAATTACTGGCTTGACAAAAAGCCTGTTGCAATTGATGAAAAGACTTTCCTTGTCTTTATTGACCACTAGAGCAATCTGTGCCTCTGCATCTTGTGTGTGTTTGTAACACAGCACTGTTGAGAGCAGTTAGTCTTTCTTCACTTAAATATCACTTTATAAGGAAATGCAGAAATAAGTCAAGTGTATTCAATTTAACTGATAGTGTCTTTTAGGGCCAGTAAGTTTTTACTGAATTATGTTTTCTGTTGTAATTATTTATTTTCGCACCTTTATTTGCCTAATAAGCCAGCTAATCTTGTATTATGCTAATTTCTATTGAACAGAGAGTCTAAGCTGCTTAGTTTGAAAGGTTTTTGGTAGATGTATTTTATAGCTGCATTTTTGTTTTAATGTTGCAATATTGTCTAAAGTTAGAGAAAATACCAGGTTACCTTTAGGTCTTGGTTAGAGTTCTGAGTTTACAGCAAACTGAACTTTGTTCAGTTTCCTGTTCATTAAAAACCCATTTCTGGAAATGGCTCCGTAAAAGCATTTCATACACGAAGAAAACAAATGATCAGTCGTTACTCAGGTTAGCTATGTATGCTCCTTTTGGAAAGTTTTTTCCTGGAAAAAAATGTCCATGCTCAAAAAAAAGCACCAAGTTTTGTGTCTTTGCTGTGAGAGATTAAGTGCAATTCTGAGAAGGCAACAATAAAATACAACAGAAATAAGATGTGTAACCAGTTGCAACATTTTTGTTCTCTCTTTAGGAATACGGAGCGCTTTATATTCAGGAATACAAGAAAAACAGCAAAGTGGAGTCAAGTACATGCAGCAGCTTCATGGGCTTGAAGGATCATCTAGGGCGTGACTTAGGCCATCTTTATGTGGCGAGCACTGGCACACAAATAAATGCAATTGTACCTTGGTCAATGGCGGAGAAGCCGACGATGGATAAGGTTAATTCTAGGAAAGAGGATGTAGACAAGGAGGCATCTGAGGAGACTTCGGGAAGCTCCAGCTGTGACTCTGAAGAAGGCACAAATTCTGATAATGATTCAGAGAGACTGAATAATTCTGCATCAGAATCACATTTATTGCCTAAGACTCACCGACAGCTGTGCCGATCTCCTTGTTTAGAGCCTCATATACTAAAAAGAAATGAAATTTTGCAAGACTTTCGGATAGAAGAGGCTCAGACAGTACCGAAGGAAGTCGAAAAGCCCTCTGATGTGGTGAAAGAATATCAAACCAAACTGGAGTTTGCACTTAAGTTGGGTTACTCTGAAGAGCAGGTTCAACTTGTACTAAATAAACTTGGTACTGATGCTTTAATAAATGATATATTGGGAGAACTTGTCAAACTTGGGAATAAAACTGAGACTGATCAGTCTGTAACTAATGCTAACACTAGTGTAATGCGTGAAACGTCTTCCATAGAGTCTCAGAGGTCAGAATCTCCACTGCAGGAGGATGTGACAGAGGATGGTGACAACCTGAGGCCAGTAGTTATCGATGGCAGCAATGTTGCAATGAGGTACGTGACTGTGACGCTTTTTGCTTTTGTATTTCAATGGAAACAGAATTACTCTGGTTCAAGCACTGATGTACTATTTAATTGCCTAAAACTGTGTGAAGGTTCTCTCACAAGCATCATCCTCAACTAAACAGCATGCCAATGTTGTAATCAGGTTAGTGGTCTGTAAGAATTCATGTCAATCTCCCTGTGTAACCAACTATCAAATCTCTCCTTCCCATTGCCAGTCTAATACTTAATTAAATTTTGGTATACTTAGCAAACCTGTATTAGGCACCACTGCTATGAGAAATTGTTATATCCAGTTACATACAGAGGGGCAAAGCAAATGTAAGATTAGAGAGGATTATGAAACAGTGACTTAGAAGAAAGTAGCTTGAGGGATACTTTTCCTTGACATGTTGTTCTATAAGTGGTTTATCTGTAAAATTTGACTGTTGATTATCAGATTCAGAGCTAAGTTTTGGTGCCGCTAGCAGCTGTGATTGTGCCTTTAGACTTTTCACTGACATACCTGCAAGTGACACAGCTATCTAGAGCATTCAGCCATTCTGACCCCAGTAATATAGGTGCATAGCAATAAACTTGTTTGGGGAGAGGCATTAGGTTCATGCTTCCTCAGTGATGAAAGAGGAGATAATGCAGGAGTGCTCAGAAATGGGTTTTTTTTTGTCAGTATAAAAGATCAGTTGACTAACTGATGAGTAACAAATTGGTTAACTTGTAAGGATTGTCCAAGTACTAGCACCACAGGTTAGAAGGGTGTTTTGGTCTCCTAATGAACTATCAGGATAGTAATAAAAGTTCATGCAAGACTGTTCAGAGCTGAAGACTTTTATTAACATTATTTTCTGTTCAATTGGATTACCTTTGGATGAGGTTTTTTTCAAATGAAATTTAAGTACAGCTCTTTAGAGCAGTGCAGTAGCTTTTATGTATTTAAGTAAAAGTGGCTAGCCCATAAACTACAAGTAATGCTTCTTTCTAAATTGGGTGTTCCAATGAGTTTCTGTTACCTGACGTATCATTCAGCTTGAGTTGTGAGGGAGTTACATCCAGATGAACACTATTTGATGCTAAAATAGATTTGAATTGCATTTTACAGAAATACCTCCCCTCACTTTCCTCTAGGCTGAACTAGCCAAGGCACCTCAGCCGTTCCTCACACATCTTGCCCTCTGGACCCTTCACCATCTTCATAGCCTTCCTTTGGATGCACTCTGATAGTTTTATATCCTTCTTATATTGTGGTTTCCAGAATTGCATGCAGCATTTGAGGAGAGGCCAAGTAGCTTCTGCTCAGCCGCTTTTCCTTAATGTTTATTCAACTATTAATGTAAGTAATTAGGTTATGACTTTCTATTCTCAATTACTTCCCTGACCACCTACATAAAGTGGGCCAAGTGTGAATTTATGATATGCACAGTACAGGGCCTTAATGTATAGAAAATGATAAGTAACTGTTTTAATCTATATCCAGGAATCCAATTGACAGGTCTTTATTTTTCTGTCACCAGCTGTAAATCATAGAATCACTGTGTTTGGAAGGAGTCTCATAGTCCAGTCACCCTGTACAGAGCAGTGTCAATTCAAGGCCATGTCCAGTTGAGTTTCAAACACTGAAACTTGCTGAGGCTCCCATTGGCCCATTTCTCTACCCTTCCAATGTCCTTTTGAATGGCAGTATATCTTTGTGGCATATCAGCCATTCCATCCAGTTTTGTGTCTTCTGTGGACTTGTTTCAGAGTGCATTCTGTCCCATCATCCAGGGCAGTAGTGAAGATACTGAGCAATGCTGGCCCCAGTATCAGTAGTCCCTCGGGGTACACCGCTTGTGACTGGCCTCCAAGTGGACTTCATGTCACTAATCACAACCCTTTGGGTGCAGCGTTGAGCCAGGTTTCAGTCTGCCTCTGTCAGCTTATGCCACCCATATTCCATTAGTTTGTCGGTGAGGCTGCTATCAGAGACAGTATCAAAAGGTTTATTTTTTAAACCTCAAAATAAACAGCATCCACAGCTCTCCTAATCCACTGAGACAGACATCTCATCATAGAAAGCTGTGAGATTGGTCAAGCATTATTTGCTCTTCATAGCTCCATTTGACTATCTCAATCACCTTCTTGTACTAAATATGTTTGGAAAAGGCTTTCAGGATGATTTGCTCCATCACCTTTACAGGGATTGAGGTGAGGCTGACCAGCATGAAATTGCCTGAACTGTCCTTGTTTCTCTGCTTGATGATAGAAGTGATCTCCTTGATGATAGAAGCTCTCTTCCAGACCTCAGGAACATCCACATTCACTATGACCTTCCAGAGGTTTCCAAGAATGGCCTTGTAATCAGCAAGCTCCTTCAGCACTCCTGAGTGCATCTTGTCGGTGCCGAGTAGCTTAGGAATGTTCAGTTGAAGTGCTCCTTAACCTCTGCTGAGGAAAAGCAGTCTTCTTTGCTCCAGACTGTTCCTTTGGTCTTGGGCCTGGGATTCCTGAAGGCAAATTTTACCTATAAAAACTGAGGCAAAGAAAGCATTGAGTACCTTCAGCTTTTACATATCCTTTGTGGCCAGGTACCCTGTCTCTTTCCTCCAGGGCCATATCCCATGGGACTCTTCCATACAATGTAAAGTCTGCTGTCCTCAAGTCCAAGGTTGTGATCCTGCTTTTTCCATTGCTCTTCCTTTTCAGAATCCTGAACTCCATCACTCAGATCACTGCAGCCAAGGCTGCCCGTGGCCTTCACATTCCTGATCAGTTCTTCCTTGTTTGTAATTTTTAGGTACAGCAAGGTTGTCATGTTGGATCCTCAGTCACCAGAGTCAAGAAGTTGTCATCAGTGCACTCTAGTAACTTCCTGGGCTGTTTGTGCATTCCATTGTTGGCCAGCCAGATGATAAAAAACAGTTTTGCTCTGTTTTCGTTCTGCCAGATGACCAAGATATGTTTGCTGTGCTTTGTCAAGTGGATTATATCATTAGCTAGAGATCAGTCCTTTGTTACAAAGGAGGTTCAATCCTCTGTTTATAAAAGGCGCATCCCTGTTGTTGACGTCAGCTGTGCAACCAGTTGTTTACCTGCATGACAGTCTCTTCCTTTCAAGAAAATAGGCAATAGTAAATAAGTTGAACTTCCATATGCAAAAGAACAATGTTTGAAGCAGTGAGGAAGACACAAGAATTCACCCATAGTTCAGACAATCTTATTCAAATGTTCATACCTTAATGTCTGGGATACTGTTACAAGAACCTTAGTTCTATGATTTGGCATGGTCTTTTCTTTTTCTTTCCTCTTTGCCTTTCCAGGGTGTTGCCAACTAGCCCTATTTGGAGCTGCTAGTAGGAAAAGCAAGACCATTGCTAATCTTTGAAGAGAGATTTCTGAGAGCTTTCTTGTATGCTCTTGCTGGACTGGGTATTCTGAGCTATATTCTTACTTCATGTTGTTGTAAGATAAGTTCTTGATGCTGCCTTACCATAATAATTGATATCATTTACTGTAATTATTATTTTAAAAAAGAACTGCTAATTTTCTTTTAAAGGGATGAGACTGATTAGTGTGCATATGTATCTAAATCTAAAATTGGAACTGAACAGTAGATGAGATAATCCCCTACAGCAGCTGTAGAACTCTTGATACACATTTAGCACAACTGGGGTGAGATTGGACTGAGTGGTAGGAACCTGGGTTCTTTTATACTGTACCTGAGCAGTGACGTACACTGTCGTTGTAGAAAACTGGGTATATCTAATCCTACTGCAGAAGTGTTCTTTTTGCACGTAGTTGATGATGTTGTAATGAAAAATGGTGGTTTAAAGTATTAGTCCACAAGGATGAGAAAAGTATTTGTTCGCTGACGTAAAAATGCACTCGGTGCCTTATTTAGTATGAGCTACTAGACAAGTAACACATTTCCATCCACAGTAGTTCTGTATCCCCATTTGAACTTTAAGCAAACCTACACTTTCCACTTATGTAAGTGAAGAAGACAAAGGGTGATCTTTGCCCATCGAGCAAATACCAATCACCAGCTCTTCACCCCTGTGTCTGCTCTCTGTTCTTCATTGTGTTCCCAGACCTGCTCTTTGTGCATCCCAGGCTGCCTCTTCTGAGCCTCAGCAGTCAAGAATGAAGGGGACAAGGTCCTGTTCTTCCATGAGACAACAGAGACAAGGCTTTGAGATTCTATTTTGCCCCTTCTTTACTTCTTTACTGCTGAGATTCAGAAGGTTCCTTCTGAAGAGAGAAATATGCTGCAGCACAGTGCTTTTTCCATGCTTGTCTTTTTCAAGGATAAGTCTGGGACTCTGAAAATTGCCTGAAACTAGTTGCTGCTGTGATACTTTTCTTTGCTGGAATCAAAGTCAAGCTTTTGCTAAGAAAAGTAAGGAATGAGGAACAGAGTTGTTAGCTAGAAAAACAACTGGAAATTTTTCTCTATGGTGTTCATGTGCTTCTGTCCCGTATTTGTTAGCTTTGCTTGACTGTTGTGGGTACCTTCACTTTCTTTGCCAATGGGAAGAAGTTCAACACTTTCAGTAAACCTACATAAAATTTTGTGATGAAAACAGAGACAAGAAAGTCTGAACTTTGCTGTACTCACAATGACAGCAACATGAAAACAACGTTGAATGGCAATTAATTGGAGGTTGTACTTGCTGTATTAGATTTTTTTCAAACAATTTCAGAATTACATCTGAAAAATAACTGAAATCTTGATCATATGCTGTCTGGGTTTGCTAGTGGAAATGCAGAATTTTGTTCTGAATAACCAGATTTGTCTTAAAAATTCACCTTTTGAATTCCAAGATTATGTAGGCTCTGAACTTCTGCTTGCCCTTTTGGAAAACTTTGACCTGTATTGGAGGCATATCCTTGCTAAAGGACAATGCAACCTGACAAAACTATTGCACTTTTCTTTGGGAGAGGAAGATACTGACTTAGGGGACTTTCACATAAGAAAGGAACAGGTTTCCCAGAGAGGTGGTGGATGCCCTGTCCCT